GCGCGGGCGATCGCGGCGCGGGTGGTGCCCCCTGCTTGAAGCCACCGTCGGGGAAGTAAGGCTTCCTTGGTGGCTCCCAGCCATCCCCTTAGCGTTTTAGCCTTTTAGTCTAGTGCTTAGTGGTAGTTTCCATTTAACCCACTAAAAGTTGAACTTTGAGCTTGGCTCTGGGGGTGGGAGGGTGCTGGTTGGTGTTTTTAAAGGGAATCTATCACTGCGGGAAATATGTTCATTTTTCCCGGGGGATTAAGCAAATGAAAGTAAGTCATAACCAGAGTAAGGGGACTAACCGCAGTTGCCCCAGTTATATCCATGGTGGTAAGTTACTTACTAGTTGGTTGAGCATTCAAGCGCTTGGATGTTTAACCAATGTCATTTTTTAGGCATTGCCATGGATATAAACTGGGTGAACCATGGATCTAAGATGGTTTCCAAAAAGTGGGCCTGTTGTTTGACCAACGAAAGTTGTTTCCTCCAAAAAGGCTCGAAGGGTCGCTATGGGTTCTCCGTAGCGGTCAGGAGAGCTACTTGGACGACCAGCCTTGGTTAATATCCCCAGTTGAGTCCCTTGAGTGGTTTATTTGTTGGAGAAGAGAAATAGCCCCTTACTCCCCGCACAACGACTGCATGCTTTTCGGACAGCTTGCTTGGGGTTTTGGACATAGGGAAAGGCAGTTGGGGGGTTCTGGCCGACACCAACTTGTTTTAGTTGGTAGGATGTCCAAAACATGTCAGCTGACATACAAACACAGGAGGTATTGTACCATGGAAAACCTGGCTTCAACACTCGCCGAGCTTTTGATCAGAGGCTGCCCAGTTTTAGATGCATTTTTCAGTTTGAGATCCATCTTTCAAAGTTGCCCACATATGGGTACGGGTCAAAATTAAACCACCAGGGGACCACAGGTTAAATCGTCCATGTTTCCATTTTCCAGGGCAACCCATTTTGGGTACTAGTTTTTGACCCACAGCCATATCACCTTTTTTCTACCGAGACGCTCGCGCAAGGTGTTGACTTAGAGCACCCACCAGGAAATTCAGAAACGTCAAGCCGCTGGTTTTGGCTCTCATGGGGCAGTGAGCCGTTGGGCCTTGCGGGGAAGCACTCCTAATGTTGACCCCGCTTATTAATATGGGGGTGTTCCTCTGCTAAAGTGGTTTGAATCCCCACTAAAACCGAGGACACCCCCTTATAAATAAACAGAGTGGGGGTCAACATGAAACAGTGAAAGTGGATGGCGCAAGTTCTGAAGGTAAGAAATGGGGACCAAACCCATTGTGCCATCTTCAAGAGTCACAGCCGGAACAAGAGGGGCTCAACATCTCTCCGCCGACCGCCCCAAAACCCGCGGTGCCTCACGTGTCATCGAGGCTGGGTGTCCTTCCGTCTGCGCGTGGGCGCAGAGCAGCCTGAGCTGGAGCTCGAGGCGCGGAAATGCGCGGCTCAACGGGATGTCCACCAACGGCTCCCCATTTAAAAAACATGCCCATATAAAAAAAGAAGGCCCAAAACTCCCGAATTTTCATATTCATGCACATGTGCTGAAATACTTGTCGTTGAAACGAACTCCTTTGGGTTTCTCCTTCAACAAGTTTTGTCAAAGGTGTTGGACCTTGAGCTTGGCCTGTTGGAGTTTGAGGTCCCAAGATTTCGGTGGAATTCAACCGATGCGATTCCACCGATCCGGGGGTAAAGCGACCGATTTGGCCCAAGAAGGTGTTTTACGTAAATGTTTAACAGCTGACATGCTCGCACCAACCTCCTTTTCGAATATTCAAAACAATTGTCGCTGAGAATGTGCGCCATCGCACAAATAACTTGAACCCCAAACCTACGGATAAATCTTAAACCACAATTGGAACTACATGATCTTCCCCCGAAAAAAAAAAAAAAAAACCCAAAGAACCAATGCCTTGTTTCTTGGGTATGATGTCAAACAATGTCAGCCTCCGACCAGCAACAAAGGAATGTACCGTGGAAGGCCTTGCTCTGCAAAACAGCGGGGTACTTGGAGCGCTGGGGCTTCCCATAGACCCAGACTCTCTCCATTGGACACCCCGTTTTCGGGCTTGGGGGTCTCATTTCCCCTGGCTGTTTGGAGGGCCCTCGATACATCGGGAGTGTTTGGGTGAGGAAATGTCCGGGGTTCCGTTTGGAGAGCCCAGAACGGGTCATTGTTTTTGACTGTTTCTCGGGATCATCAAAGCCACAACATGGGGTGTTGTTTCCCTTCAACCTACCACTTAGGGCTGACCACTGGAGGTCATGATTTTGACTGTTTCTTACCAGAGTCAGAAAATGATCGGGGGGGGAGGGGTATTTCCCTTATATAGTTATAGCCTACTACTTAGGCTACTTAGGGCCACTTACCACTTAGGGCCACTTAGGGCTACTTAGGGCCACTTGGGGCTACTTAGGGTACTTAGGGCTACTTAGGGCTACTTGGGGCTACTTGGGGCTACTTAGGGCCACCTCGAGCTACTTGGGTCTGACTTTGGTGAAATGGGACCAACCCTTCGATGCTCCGAGGTCGGGGTGCTGGAGCCCGGCAAGCCCCAGACCCTGCGGATGATGGCCTACGCCCCACACGCGGGGCCCGACGACTTGGGCGGCTGGACGGAAGTGGGGGGTGGGTCTGGTGGGTTTGGCAGGGTCAAACCAGGGAAGTAGTTTGGACCTTTATTCACAACACATTATTGTTGACTCTCAAGTTTCATCAACATATTGCATCCACAAGCAAGTTTGAAGATAGATCTGGCATATACTATTCATAGACTATAGTTATGAAGACGTCGAACAAAGAGCGTATGAGTTTTATTCGCTTTTATGTCTAGCGTCCCAAATGCGGCTACGAACACAGATGAGCCATTGTGTATTTTCTGCAATACTAGATGATCGCAACGCGAAGCAACCCAGCAAACATGTGCCAAACACGTGCAGAACAAGCACCATTTGGTACGGAGCATGCTTCAGTCAACATCCTTCAAATTGATACAGAGCATTGGGGGGTGGCCTTTCGCAAGAGGGACGCGTTCCTTCTGAAAACAGGTTCTGTAAACATGCATGTAACACAAGTGGGGGGCAGGGTGCAAGCACACTTGCCTTGTTGTAAATCAGAATGTGTTGACAAGATCAACGCATCGATGTTGCGGCCTCGCACAAGTTTTGCCTTGTGTCCTCACCCATGAAGGTTCCCGGCGCAAGAAATTGTCACAAAGTCTAAACTTAACTCGGCTTGTTCGCAGAAGCTGATTACACAGTCCAACCGACGTGCTCACTCCCCGAGTTTGGACTTTAAACCTTTGGGGAAGACCATTTTGGTGCTAAACAACCATGGTTTACACCCTTTTTTGGAGACCCGACTCAGGAAGTGCGCGTGTTGCCGAGCTCGTTCTCGCCCAGGGTGCTTTGGACTGGTTCCCCCCCGACCCCAATAGCTGAGGCGGCAGCGATGCCATGGCCATGGATGCTTGGGCAAGACTTAGCCCTTTGCTGGTGCGAGAAGTAGGGAAGGAGGGAATGAACCTGGGCTAGGCCCCCCAGTAGTGCTCTTTGCCCTTTTTTCGGGGAGGGCTCCCCTACTAAAATAGACTACAGAAAAAAGGGTACCCTGATTCTAACCTCTCTACTGGAGGACCTAGTGGAGGTTCCCTTAAAGGGAACCACCAGTTGGATGGTTTATAAGGGTCATTCCAATTCTCATTCCCTGCTGCGCACAAGCAAGTAAAGAATGGTTGACCCAATTTGGATGATGACAGTCCTTAAGTAAACTGTGCGGCGGTTATATGAACCCAACCATTGTTTTAACGGTGGATTGAACCCCTGGGCTAGTATGTATGTGTCAATCAGAGTGTTGGTGTCTTTTTTGGTTTACCCCCTCACGATACAACTGTTTGGTGTATAACTTGGCAAAAACTGTTTTCCATGGTAAAGACTGCGTCGTTTAGCCAGGGGTTGACACAATACCTTCAAACCTACCTGAGAAGGGTACCCTCAAACATGCATCCACTTGAATCCTTCTGGTTTGCTTTGGGGGCAATAACACGCTTTCCAACGGAAGTAGACAGGATGGTCTTGGAAAGTTGACATCACGTAGAAAAGGGCCCAAACTCACTTCCATGATTGTTGGAATATTGGCAGCGGTTATGATCTCTTTAGCTCCCAGACTTCGTGTCCTTTTTTCAGGGAATCCGTTTTGGGTTGTTCAGAGCCCCGTAGAGGATACACGCCCATTGAAACAGCTCGCAAAGCACAATGCTCCCTTTAAGGAATCCAGTTTGAACGGACATGAAAAGGAAACTACACAGTTCGACCCCCCAAAGGTAAGGTTTGGAGACTCAAACCCAAAGAGGCATCCGAATTGAGCCTCGCAACACGCTTTCCGATGGAGCTCTGGTCCTTGCTGATGCTTGGCGTGTCTTTTGACGCATCCGACCGCGATCTTAAATGGGGGGGGGAACTTTGGTGGGGCGACACAGGTGTTCTATTGGTAACTTCCCCATTCCTTCCAGGGATCCTGCTTTCTAGACAACCACCACCAACCCTGGGAAAACGGATCCGGTTTTTGACAAGAACGATGGCTGAAAAGAATGGACAAGGAATCAACCCCTAGAGGTGTACATAAAAACAACCCCAAAGCAACCTGCACCCAAAGCAACCGATGGAGGGTTGGGGTTTGCCAGGACCAGGGCAACCCAGAAGACGTCGCTTGTGGGATCTCAAAAGGTCAATTTGGGTGGCCCAGATTCCATCAATCGGACTCTTAGGGTACAGAAAGAGGGGAAAGAGGGGTACCCCTAGTAATGTCAACCTCGATCAGCCCTTTAGTGGAGAATCAAATGGCTATGACATGTAATTGAAAGCGAATCACCTCCAAAAGTGGTTCGTGGATATGAGTCTCCACTAAAGGAGGCTTTGGTTCCACTAATAAAAGTTCACTGGAGGATTCCTTTGCCGAGTAAGTATTTAGCCCCGTATATTATATTATTTCAAGCATCAAAGGGTCGAGCCTCAAACAGGCCAATTATTTTTGCAAAGCCAAAACCAAAACCAATGGAGTTCCCTAACATCAACCCCCGAACCAATGGAGGGTCCAATGCCTACGAAGTCTAAGGCAGAGCTACACCTGCGCGAAGGGTCAATGACCTGGACCGACGTCCGATTCGATGGGTGTTGGGGCTCTCATGGGTTGATCTTCAGGTCTGGTTGCAAAGCGTCCCAAGTTTTTCATCCAGCCCTGGAGGAAAGGCATTGAATCCTTGCATCGGGCCGGGGGCGAGGTAGGGCAGGGAGGGAACCCACATAAGCCCCAAATACGGGCTTAATCAGGGCTTAATAAGGGCGTATTTCAGCTCCCCCCCACCTCCCTCCCCCCCAAGCCCCATGATTGCAAGGGCTCCCCCACTTCCTATTCTCCTTTCTTGGAGTCCAAGTCTGATTTTTTCGGTGGGAGAACTCGTGCAGTTTGACCGGATATGCGCCGTGGCCCTTCAGCACACCTTGGGCCCCTCTGGGAGTTTGTTAGGGACGTTCAGCAAGGATTGTAGTGCCCTTGAGGGAACCCCGAGCGTGGCCCGCGCAAGGAGCTTCAGCACAGCACACACGGTTTTGTCTCCAAACGGGGAACCCCCTAAAGCATGAGTGATTTCCCTTCAAAAGCCAAGAACAACCCCGAACAAGGTATCCCAACAAGGCACAGCATGTTGTCTTGCTTTGGCAAAATCGCTTCTCTGGTTCTTGTCAGGATTTAAGAGAGTGGAATAATGTTTCAAGCCATGTTGGCTTCATCCCCTCCCACCACCAAGGGCGTTGTTGCGCCATCCGGTACCGTCTTCTTCCAGGGTTTGGGCCGTTCAGCTCCTGGGGCGGACCTTGTTGCTGCGCCTGAACCCCAAAACTTGACCATCATGTTCGAAGAACCAGCCGGACAGTTTTGAGGATCTCAACTTTGGTGGTCCAGCCAGGTCTTTCACCTGCCAATGGGTTCGACATGTTGCTTCGGTGTCATGCTTTGCTCACCTGTCACGCGATTAGCCCATATTTACAACCTGCTCAAAACCTACGTACCAACTGGTTAGCCGCCCCGTTTGGGGTCTCCTCCAAAGCTATTTGATGTTTTGAGGTAGACTAAACATGAAGCATCAGAGAATGTTCATTTTAAGACAACATACAACAAGAAGCAAACAACAAGCAACGCAAAACACAATTTTGCCAACCTTGACCAACCAACCTGTATTGCTTCACACATGTTCCAACAATAGCTTGCCAACAAAGCACATGGCTGTGGGTCCAAAAATAGGTACCCCAAATGGGTTACCCTGGTAAAATGGAAAGAAGGACGATGTAACCTGCGGCCCGTGGTGGTTTTGTTTTGACCCCCACCCACATTTGCCCAGCTCCAACCAACGCCACCCGTGGCTCCAGGAGGTCGGCCGCACTGACGCTGGGCCCGGGGCTCTGGACGGTACGTCTGGCCACGGAGGGCAGCCATTTTCTTTTTTTTTTATCTTGTTGGGTTTTGGCCACGGAGGGCAGCCACGTGCACCTGGGCCGGCTGCGCAGTGACACGCCAGGCGAGCGGTGGGACCCCGTGGGCGCGGGGTGGGCCCGGAGGTTCCAGCGCCCCCCGCAGCTCTGGTAGCTTCCGTTTGACGCATCCAACCGCGATCTTAAATGGGGTGGTGCGACACAGGTGTTCTAGGGGTAACTTCCCCATTCTTTCCAGGGATCCGGATCTTTCTAGAAAACCACCAAGAACTCTGGGGGAAAGGCAGGTTTTTGAAAAGAAGGATGAAAAGAAGGGACAAGGAATCAACCCCTAGAACAACGTTTGTTTCAACCATGTCCAAAATCTCCTTGGTGCGGTCCACAATGCTGTTTGGGGGGAGGTGGTTGGGGTGTTTGTTTGGCGCCTCTTTTGGGGGTGACGACAAAGCCAATTCGGACAAGAAATGGAAGGTTCGGCCCCAAAAGACTTTGCGTCCTGCGTGTTGTCATGCAGGGCCTGCTCCTAGGCAAGGTCAAGGTGCTGTATTGGTGTTTGATTTTGTGAGGCAAGGTTAAGGTAGATCCCTGGTCCATTTGTTTGTATAGGAACCAAGGGAGCCACCCTGAACAAGCCAAGCTTTCCCTCTATAGCCAGCTGCGTGTTTTGTGAACCCTGACTCAAAAGGGAGGTACTACCATGGAAAACCAGGTTTTCGCAAATATACCCCAAAAAGCGGGTATTTGGAGCGGGGGTGTGCACCAGGGAGAAAGTAGAAGGCGCAATTCCCAGTAGATGTGCGTAGATGATGAGTGACCCAAATGGGTTGGACTTGTGCCGTCGATTTTCAACTGACTGAACCTTTTGCAGGTGTTAAACGGAAGGAAGGCGAACCACAAGCTTGGGGGTCCTAGATTGCACTTACACTTACACAGCCACACACACATGACGACTATATGCGGCGCAGTTCCTTGTGGGATCTGACAAAATTGAATAGGCGCAAAGGGAATACCCGTAGTGGGGTTGCTTGACTGGTCCAATGGAACCCGGCAACTCGCGTTGGAGCCATGAGGCAGGTAGGGATTGGCAGATCTGGAGCACTTTCGATGGGCGCTCAAATGAAGCGCCACAAACAACCATCACGCAACCATGAAATAACCATCAGACAACCTCTAAGCCCAAAAAAAAAACATACAAATCTTCAGTTTTGGTGACATCCTACATTTGTGCCCATTTTTCCCTTGACCAGCATGATGAGCCAAGAAAACACAAATGAGGCATGAGCCACCTCTGCCTCAGCGAGAATTCCTCATCGGACCCTTAAAGATCGGTCGGAAGTTGTGTGACCCACTGAACGACAGAATCATCTTGACTTGTTGCAGGGAGGTCATCCGGAGCATGTGGGCATGGGCCAATTTGATGAATCCCCAAGTTGAGACGGCTAACAATTCAGCATTACCCTTGCGAACATTTTTGATCGGTACCCCTTCTTGGTTGGTATTTATTGAAGGGAAGCCAAAAAAAAAAGCACGCAAAGAGCAACTGCCATTTTGGGGAGCTCAACCTCAAAAAGACGAGCCACCCATGTGATCCATCGATCTCTTGAGCTAGGCGTGGACTTTTTGCTGCGCAGCCAAGTGCTGGGAGAGGCCTCGCCCATGGCGAGGTACACGCCCTTCGTGTCGCCGCTTGCAAAACCGGAAGAAGGATCGACTCGTTTTTTGGGGGTTGAGGCCTTCGAGGGGGAATCCGATCTGAACTTGTTCACGCACAGAGCAGCATCAAGCATCTGGGTGAACTACAAGGACCTCACACGACCTCACCCAAATGGTGGTTTATGTGGGGAATGGCTTCCCTCAACCGCCATTTTTAGTAGGGGGCTGCAAAAAGCAGTCAAAGCTTCTTGTTGGTAGCAAACATTCCAAGGGTGCTGCAATAAACAGTCAGTTCTTTGTTAGCTAACTTTTTGCCAACTCATGGGTTTTCCATTAAACAAAGTTAACCTTTTAGCAGGGGAGCAGAAAGCAACCGAGTTTTTTTGGGTTTCATCAAATCCTGGTGTCCCACTTGGTTTGTGTGCCACCCCCCCTTTTTGTTGGCCCAAGTTTGGCACAAAACCTCGAGTAATTCCTGGAAACAACCAGCGTGGGCCTAAAAGCAATCCCCGGAGTCCACATTACCCTTTAAACATGGGTCAATGACCCCTGTATTTTGGGTAATGACCAACCATTTTTCAAGGGTCATGGAGACTCCAGGTCGATTCCTTCGACACGGACGAACTTTTTCTATGGAGAGTCCGAATTTGATCTCTGTCTCCCACTTTCCGGGCTCAATGGCCAAAAGGGGAGGGAACAAAATCCTTCAAGGGTTTTAGGGTTGGCAATTGTTTAACCTCATAGAAGTTCTGGTTCATTAGTAGGGGGGCCTTTTTAGTAAGGTTTATAACTTTAGGTGGGGAACCCCCCCATGTATGAATGGCTTATTAGTCGGGGGTCAACACTAGGCATGGACCCAGATGAAGCTCCGGGCGGGTAAGCAACGGTGGTTGACCTGGTGGTTTGAATCCCAAGTGAAATTTACATTTTGTAGGTATAGTGTCAACTCTTGGCTAACAGGAGGTATTTACCATGGTAGGCCTGGCATTGAATTTTCCAGGCCCAGCACAATCAGGGATATCTTCAGCTCCAAGTTTTGCCGGTCCAAGGTCCATCGATCCGGTGGAAGGGCCGTATGGTGGCGGCACGACCGTGATGCTTTCAGGCGCGACCCAGTCGCATCATTTGACATCAAAGTGAATCAACATGGGTGTTGTACCATGGTCAAAATCACCCTGGGTAGGGACAGACATCAACCCAGGAATGGCGGGCGTTTCAAAGTGCTGCTGGACATGAAACCCAAACGATGTCAACCAAAGCGGCCGGGGCCCAATCCAAATGCAAGTGTTTGTCAAAGGAGTCGGTGCCCTCAAATGGTTTTTGTTTGGTCTCCCTTTGAATAACAAAAGAGCCTAAGCAATTCGAGTCCGTTTCTGGGGCATGCAAAACAAGAAGTAGTCATCTACATGATTTTGCCCCCTATTTTCTTCGATAAGTCCCTGTTCTTGGCCAGTTGTTTTGTTTTTGTGGGTTCTGTTCATTTTTAGTAGGGGGCTGCAACAAGCAGTCAAAGCTTTTTTTGTTGCTAGCAACCATACCGTTTGTGCTGCAATAAGCAGTCAGTTTGTTGCTCGCAACCATACCGTTTGGGTTGTGAGGTGCGCAAACAAAAACATTCAACGTGTTTGTTGCAAGCCCATACCACGGGTTGTGCAGCCATACCGTTTGTGAAGATAAAGTCACACCCAGCCCATGTTCTGCGGCTCGTCGTCGCCAGGCAGCGGCTTCTTGTGCAACGGCACCGCCACCATGGAGGAACTCTCAGTGATGCTGGCGGGATCCCCCTGCGACGCTTGGACGAAGCCGGCGGAACCTAAACACGGTACTTGGATGGAGCCATGTGAGGTGTACCATCCTTGAACATCCAAGTACTCCAAGTACAAACATATACGTTCAAGTATATGATAGTGCCTCCAAATGTTGTAGAAACTCGATTCCTCCAAACATATGGTGTTCAGGGGCTCCTTCCGTAAATCTGCAGGAGTATGCTAGCCCATAGTAGGTAGAGACCGGAGAATCACCATTTGCAACCTAAAGTTGGAACTCACTGTCCTAGAAAAACATCTTGCCTGGTAGCCTCTGGGGTAGCTGATTTCTTGGCAGTTGGCTTCCGCAGAATTCGATGCAGCTCCCCAAAGAGATTCGGATCCCCACAAGAGCGGGACACTGCGCCACAAGAAGTTGCTTCGTTTCGAGTCGCGCTTTGGTCATACCAAGAAAATACACTGCAGCACTTGCCAATGTGCCAGTGAACACCATGGGACACCTTGATCATCAAAACTACGACTGTTTCTACTTTGCGGGAGTTTGCGGGTTGTTGCCGGAGATTTGCAGAACATTTCCGGTGTTTTGCGGACAAAATGTTTTTTTGTCCGCACCGCACAACTTTGGACCGCCGTTGCATGTTTTGACAAGCTTGCGGGCTGCATTAAGTCGTTTACCCCTGCAAACCAGTCCGGCAAACAACGGAAAGCGCCTGCCACGGCATGCGATGGCTTTCCCTTGTTTTCCCTTGCTTTCCCTTGCCTTCCTTCGCTTGACCTTGCTTTTTCCCTTTCGTTGCCTTGCTTTCCCTTGCTTTCCCCTTCCGTTGCTTTCCCATTTCTTTCCCTTGCTGTCCCTTGCTTTCCTTTGCTTTGCCTTGCTTTGCCCGTGCTTTAGCTTGCTTTGCCTTGCTGTCCCTTGCTTTGCCCGTGCTTTTGCTTGCTTTGCCTTGCTGCCCCTTGCTTTACCTTGTTTTCCCTTGCTTCCCTTGCCTTGCTGTCCCTTGCTTTCCCTTGCTTTCCCTTGTTTTCCGTTGTGTTCCCTTGCTGTCCCTTGCTTTCCTTTGCTTTGCCTTTCTGTGCCCGTGCTTTTGCTTGCTTTGCCTTGCTGTCTTGCTGTCTCTTGCTTTCCCTTGCTTTGCCTTGCTTTGCCCGGGCTTTTGCTTGCTTTGCCTTGCTGTCCCTTCCTTTCCCTTGTGTTCCTTTGCTTTGCGTTGCTTTGCCCATGCTTTTGCTTTCTTTGCCCTGCTATCCCTTGCTTTCACTTGTTTTCCCTTTCACTTGCTTTCCCTTGCTTTCCCTTGCCTTCCTTTGCTTTGCCTTGCTTTGCCCGTGCTTTTGCTTGCTTTGCCTTGCTCTCCCTTGTTTTCCCTTGCTTTCCCTTGCCTTCCCCTGGCTGTCCCTTGCTTTCGTTTGCTTGTCCCTGCTTTCCCTTTCCCTTTCTTTCCCTTGCTTTGCCCGTGCTTTTGCTTGCTTTGCCTTGCTCTCCCTTGTTTTCCCTTGCTTTCCCTTGCTGTCCCTTGCTTTCCTTTGCTTGTCTTTGCTTTCCCTTGTTTCCCCTTTCCCTTGCTGTCCCTTGTGTTCCTTTGCTTTGCCTTGCTTTGCCTGTGCTTTTGCTTGCTTTGCTTTGCTCTCCCTTGTTTTCCATTGCTTGTTTTCCATTGCTTTTGCTTGCCTTCCCATGCTTCCCTTTGGTTGTCCTTGCTTTCCCTTTCCCTTGCTTTCCCTTGCTGTCCCTTTCTTTCCCTTGGTTTCCCTTGCTTTCCCTTGCTGTCCCTTGCGGCCCTTTGCTTTCCTTTGCTTGTCCTTGCTTTCCTTTGCGTTGCCTTGCTTTCCATTGCTTTCCCTTTCCCTTGCTTTCCCCTGATTTCCCTTGCAGTCCCTTGCTTGCTGTCCCTTGCTTTCCTTTGCTTTGCCTTGCTTTGCCTGTGCTTTCGCTTGCTTTGCCTTGCTGTCCCTTGCTTTCCCGTGTGTTTCCCTTGCTTTCCCTTGCTTTTTTGTTGCTGTCCCTTGCTGTCCCTTGCTTTCCTTTGCTTTGACTTGTTTTGCCCGTGCTGTTGCTTGCTTTCCCTTGCTGTCCATTGCTGTCCCTTGCTTTGCCTTGCTTTCCCTTGCCTGGCTTGCTTTCCCCTACTTTCGCTTCCTTTGCCCTTGCTTTTTGTTGGTTTGCCTTGCTTTGCCTTGCTGTCCCTTGCTGTCCCTTGCCAGCTTGACCCAAGTCAGAGCAAACCAACAACTGCACAACCCTCCTGCACTGAATCACATACAAGCAACAACCCAAACCAGCGCCCGTACTTACACACCCCGTGTCGTCTCCCTGGGACCTGCAAACCAGCCTTGCGGTGGCAGAAAGTGCTCCAAAAAATACTTTCAACAAATGGGAGTATTTTTCCTGCGACATCCCCAGCATCGCCGACCACCACAAAAACTTCCAAAACAAGCGACATCCCCTGCATCCCCGGCATCCCCTGCATCCCCGGCACCCCTTGTGCGCCCAAGTCCGGCGAGGCCGGAAGCAAAGTAAAATGATGTAAAACTGGCACGCTTTTTGGCCCGCGAGAGCCACAGACGAAAAGGTCGACGATGCTCGGCAGCCGTCCGCCGAAAAAGCCGCGAAACACACACCGTATGTTCTGACACCCAAAACAACCGCCTTTTTGTTGCCCAGACAAGTGCTCCAACAAAATCCTCCCATTTTTGGGCGTATTCTTTCGGGCTGAACCAGAACTGCAAATCACCCGGACCGAGGTTCCCCCCCCCCCCCCCCCCACCCCCACACCCCCCCCCCCCCCCCCCCCCCCCCCCCCCCCCCCCCCCCCCCCCCCCCCCCCCCCCCCCCCCCCCCCCCCCCCCCCCCCCCCCCCCCCCCCCCCCCCCCCCCCCCCCCCCCCCCCCCCCCCCCCCCCCCCCCCCCCACCCCCCCCCCCCCCCCCCCCCCCCCCCCCCCCCCCCCCCCCCCCCCCCCCCCCCCCCCCCCCCCCCCCCCCCCCCCCCCCCCACCCCCCCCCCCACCCCCCCCCCCACCCCCCCCCCCCCCCCCCCCCCCCCCCCCCCCCCCCCCCCCCCCCCCCCCCCCCCCCCCCCCCCCCCCCCCCCCCCCCCCCCCCCCCCCCCCCCCCCCCCCCCCCCCCCCCCCCCCCCCCCCCCCCCCCCCCCCAAAAATAGTAAAAGGAGAATTCAAAGAATTATTCTTTCTACTATTTTTTCCAACAGCAACACAACAAACAGAAAACAAAATCCAGAACAACAAGCAAACAAAATAAATAATCACAACCAGCAACAAAAATATTTAATCACAGCATACAACATTAAATAATTCAAACAAGCATACCAACAAAACAGCAACACTCTAAATCATCAAAGAACCCAAACTCAAAAACACACATCAACAAAAAACAAAGCAACATACCAACAAAAAATATCACAAGAGTATCAAACAAAACAAAAACAAACAGCCAAAGCACGAAACAATTGAAGACGCATGCCAAGTCTAAACAACGCACTTTGAAAGAGATAAGCAAATTATAATAATTCAATCTTTACAAACGATAAATATATTACAATTATAACATATAATATTTTACATGTGATAATCATAGTATGATTATAATTTCAGTACAGGATAACAATTTAATTGATTTGTCTTACTTCTTTCATACATCATTTTAAAAATAATATTAATATCTCTCAATGTATTTTGAACATTAAAATTTTTACTTTCAATAAATAATTTGATATTTTCTTTAACATCTTGTCCTTTCTCTTGACTATAACACAACATCCTTAATATATCATCAATCATACCATATTTTTCTTAGGGATTTTAAGAAACTGTTTAATATAATCGTAAGGTGGTATTTTATTTACAGTTAGAAATATTAAAATCTCATCTTCTACATTTCTATTATGTCTCCCTTTTATTCTCAACAGACATTTGATTAAAACTTGATTATCTCTCCATTCCTGACAAATTTTACATTCATCTTCTTCATCCATTGAATAATTAATAATATTATTCAATATTTTATTAGGTAAATTTAATTTATACAATTCCATATTTTCTTTTTTGAAGTGACAACAATCATAGCATTTTTTATTGATATAATTATTGATTTTATCACCGTTCATTTTCCTCTTATTATATTAAGGCACTATTTCTTTAAGTCATTTTTAAGGCATTAATAAAAATTAAGAAACTAACCATAAGTATAGTATAATTATAGCATATAATATTTTACATGTTATAATTATATTTCAATTAAGAATTAAGGATTTAAGATAACAGTCAGGCAATATGTCTTCAAATATGTAATCTACATATTTATCAATATCACCAATGTCTATATATTTGATATTGTCTTTTCCTATTATTGAATAAATATATTCCCAAAAGAATAAATACAGCAATAGACATACTTTATATTTAGTGTTGTAGTAATACCATACATGATATTTAGTTATTCTAAATTCATTCAAGACCTTGTTTATTTTATCTTTGCTTAATAAATGCCAATCAATCTCTTCAAACAAATCACGAAATTCTTTAGCAAATGATTTATATGGTTTAATGCTTAGTTCTCCTCCAAACCTTTTAATCAAATCTTTATTATTAAAAAACTCATCAATTTCTTTTTCAAATGACTCTCTATCAATTTTATGGTAAAACCATACAGGAAATCGTTTTTGATATCTCATAAAGAATTTCAATTTTAATTGAAACTTTGTATATCCCTTATCCTTATATTCTTCAACAAACAACTTTTCAAGGTCTCTTGTTATACAGCATTGATTACAATATACATCATATTCACTTATTTTATTACACAGATTAGCAGGTAATAAGTTATACAATGTAAAATTAATATCATTCTTTTTATTATTACAACATTCACACTTACTATAATTAAACAGTGTCATTTTTCCTCTTAATATATTAAGTCAATATTTATTTAAGTCGTTTTCAAAGAATTTATCTTATAATGGCCGTAAGCAAGTGAGTTTACACTATCTATCCAATATTTTTTGTTTTCATAACTACTAAGAGCAATTTTTTTAGTTTTTATACTAAAAATTCTGTGGTTTTTACTTCTAATACTA